GGGGGGGGCACGTTTGAAAAGGAGCAAATGTAGCTGCTCCTCTGAAGTAGGTTGGTGTTGGGGTGAATCTGCGGCCACCGGTAGACGGGTGACATCAGGCGTCACGTGACCCTGTGGTTCTGGAGGAAGAATCAGAAGAACACCAGGAAGATATGACAAAAAAATATATTTATTCAGTAAAGGTTCAAACGTGTGGAACTGAAGTTTTGAGGAGCGGTGCAAAAGTCTTAGGCAGCTGTATTCATTCATTTGATCTTTTTTTTTTTTTAATTTCTTTAAAGTCACCCTAAAATCAGAACACTCTCTTTATGGTCAGAGAAGAAGACGTGGAGACGACGGTGCGTTGTTCTTCTCAGTCCATCTGCACTGGACGGAAACGGTCATTATTTGACTGCTATGCCTCATCATAAGATGAAGACCCAGAGAAGAGTCCACTGTCCAGTCCTTCAGGACCAGACGCCCACCCCCCCACCCCCTGGCCCTTAGCTTGAAGACGTTTTTTTGGCAGCAGAAATGAAGAAGCAGACGCAGCTTAAACCTGTTAGTCTCTTCCCTCTAATCGGCTTACACTGGCTCAGTGACAGACAAGAGGCTCCTCAGGAGGGTCCACACTCCGCCGCTTGTACACACACCTCACACTAAAGGACGACATGTTGGAACACCACATGGAACCAAACACTGCACTTCACACATTCGGCTGCAGAGATGTCACGTCTTCTTCTGGACAGAATCTTCCTCAGTCACTGCTCCGGACTTCCTGGTTGTGTGTGTGTGTCTTGTTCACAGTTAAACGTTCACGTGTTTGCGATAGATTTTCAGCTTGTTTGTGTTTGATTGAACACACACCATGTCACCAACAGGTGGCGCCTCTGAGTGTTCGGCTCCTGTGATTATGTAAAGGTGCCAGACTGTTCATGCAGAACTCTGTTTTCTCTAATGAGCTCAGATAACAGTTGTCAGGTGAACGACCCCAGGTTGGCCACTAGGGGAGGTCATTTACGCTCTCCTCCTTTTTTATGACGTTTAATTAAAAGGCGAAAGAAAGTTAGACCACCGACTGAGGTCGAGGCCACCGACCACGCCTTGGTCCACCAGGCAGCCAGGCCTCGTCTCCTGGTCATGGGCAGGTGAACCCATGGTCCAGCTGTAATCTGGACCATCTGTGAGGACGTTTATAAGACGGAGTCCAAACCATATCTGTGTCTGATCTTCATGGACATTTTTCCTTCTCTTCTCAGATCTGGACACCAGTCCATCATGGAGACCTCTGCTCCGACCACCGACAGGAAGGACAGCTCCAGTCTGGAGGGGGGCAGCTTCTCTGAGCTGCCCAAGAAACCATCGTCCAGCCCCCTGACCAGAGGTACACACCAGCACGCACACCAGCAGGCTGTTTGACTCCAGGGTGGGGGTGGGAGTGTGTGTTGGGGGGGTCTCATGTTTCAGAGATTTTAAAAAAGAATGGTTGATTAAAGAAGATGTACTAACGAGGCCCCGAGACTTTGTTCCTCCATCATCCCCAGAGTTCATTTATGAATTAGTTAAAACAGAGTGTAAGTGTGTGTGATGGTGGTGGGGTCGGAGAGAAGGGGGGGGTGGGGGGGGTTTATTTGCCTAATGATTGGACTTTGGTGTCCTGCCATTACAGGAGCGTGGAGCATGAATTGTTGAGAACGTGAGGACAGGAAGTAGGACGTTCTCGTCCTCAGTTCTTGGCTCCTCCACCAGTGAGTCTTCACTCAGAGAACAGAGAACTGGGTTGGATCAATTATTCACTGTTCCCTCTGTTCTGACCAGTGTGTGTGTGTGTGTAAATGTAAATGAAGTTTTATTAGAGGAAGAAGAAGAAGAGTCTTCTGTGGTCAGGGTTTATTTGTGGGATCACACACACACACACACACTCACTCAGTGTGTGTATATTTATAATTGATCAGACCAGAGCTCCATGTTTTCATCAGTGAATCTTTGAATCAACTCCATAATGAGGTTTGTGGACCTGGAACTGATTTCTAACACATGCTGATGGACATCATGGGATGGGGGGGGGGGGTCACTGCAGGTCATCACCACTGTGGCCAGAGGCAGCAGTGAACATCGGCAGACTGTAATAATAACATTAACATTTATAATAATAAACATCTTCATCATCTTCATCATCATCATCTGACAGTGTTTCAGGGTTTTATATAAATGTATATACATATATACATATATGTATATGTATGTGTATATATATTTATATATATATATATTTATAAATATATATATATATAAATATATATACACATACATATACATATATGTATATATGTATATATAAATATATATACATATACATATATACATATACATATATACATATACATATAGAGTTTAAAATATTCCTAAAGATCAAATTTAAAATGTGCTTTTTTTATTATTCATTAAACCCTCAATAATTCCTAAATGTTTATTACCAAAGACTGGAGTCATAAAGATGTAAGAGTTAAAGGTGGGGGGGGGTCACAGGACGGTCTAACACCCCACCCCCCACCCCCCACAGCTCAGATGAACAGTGTGAATCAGTGACACCTTCTGCTGTGGTTCTTTTTATCTCCTGAGAACTTTGTTTCCATCATCAGTCACAGTGGTGTTGACTGTAGAAGGTCAGTGGCACCCCCCCCCCCCCTCTCAGCAGCCGTACACTCGTCTTTATTAGAGCGTGGCCTGGGTGCCGGGCCACAGATTGATGTTCCACTTCCTCTTCACAGAATTCCTCACAGCCTCGACGTCCCCCGGCACAGAATTTTCCAGAGAAAGTTGATAAAGATTCACTCAGGCGGCAGCCGCCCCGTCACGGCCCACAGTGGCACACCGGTCGGTGCGGCCCGCGTGGGGAGCAGCAGCTCTATCAGGTGTCATGTTCTGTAACATTGGCTTCAGCATGTCAATACTTCTTTGTCGGTTACTTGAGATCCGGCAGCAACAAGCTTACAGGAAGCGTGCGTATTGACCAGTGTCGTCTGAGCGTTGTTTGTTTTCCTGTCAGAGTCCATGGCTGCTGACTGTCAGGAAGCGACCGCCGTCCTCACCCCGACCGCACCAGTCAAACACCTGATACAGTCGCTGTCCCGGAATCTTTACAGCCGGAGCTGGGTGTAAACTTACCTGCAGCGACTGTGGTTGGCACCGCAGCGGAGCAGGCTAACGTTTGACGTTCAGTGTGGCCGACAGAAAACAACGATGACCGACTTCACGTGTCGTCGCTTTTGATTTTATTCTGTGTTAGTGTTGAAATGAGGAAGATCGGACTGAACGTTGGCTTAAAACAGTTTGAACAAGAGTGCTCCTGATTGGACGATGTTCACTTTCTCACTAATTTTCGTCTCTGAAATACTGTGGGCGGCCAACTGCTTTTGGTTGATCCACATCAGAGGAAACTTTTCCACTTCTTCTACGGTCTGAGATCTTTTCTCGGTGATCACAGTCACTCCTTTGACAACCTTAGCTTCTTCTACTGCTCCGTTCTTCATGATGACGGAACTAATCTGACCCTCAGTGCAGTACCAGTCCACGGTTCTTCATGATGACGGAACTAATCTGATATCGTTGGCTTGTTTGGAGTTATGGTACGATAACCGGGGAGTTTTGGGTGAACATTTTGTCCTTGAAACGAATTGTTCGATAAAGTGTATATTGTATCGTTGCTCCTATATCGTGACTCTAGTATTCTTACTAACACACAGCCCTCAGTGATCCAGTACCAGTCCACACCCCAGACATTTGGCCACGTTAGCCACCAGCAGGTGTCCTCAGCTCGCCCCTCCGTTGAACGGACGATTTTATTGTTAGTTCAGCTGATGACAAACAGTTGTCTCTGTCTTTTCGTCCTCTCTGATTGGTTGATTTTTACACAGCGTGACACTGGTGGTCGGAGTCGGAGTCACATGGTGTCTGATCGTCTGGCTCTGCTTCTGTTGGGTTCTGTGGAGCTGAGGAACCACAGCTGAGTCTGATCCAGAGTTCAGAGGAGTTATCAGAAGTTGAAAGTACTACAGACAGTACTACAGAGAGTACTACTTTGTCGTTTTAATGGGTGACATCACAAGGCAGACATTAATCTGACTGGATTCTTAGAAGACACTTTTGAAGAGTGCTGTTGAGCTGAGTGCTGGAGCCGATGTGGGTCACATGTGCTCCTCAAACATCAACCAGATGAAGTGACAGGACGGTTCTGACGCTGCTCGGTTCTCTGGAACTCTCCGCCTCGTCTTTAAATCCTTCAAAAACCCCCGCGGTCTGCTTTGACATGTTGATCGCTGAGAACCAGAGGCGTTGGGTCCAAAGACCATGTGTCACATTCCAGGCTGTTTACCAGTGAAGACGGAGGAAATGTATGGATGTTTTAGGGGATTAACCAGACTGACCCCCCCCCCCGTCCAGCCCCCGCCTCTAGGACATCTTCTCCCCCTCTTGTGTGTCACGTCCCTGGCCCTCCTCCTCCTAATCTGCAGCAGAATTCTAAATTCCTGGATGTGATGGACACCACAGGGTGTTGGAGGCCGTCGCCCGTGTCACTTCCTCCTCAATCTCTCCAGCCAATCAGATCCCTCAGCATCCATCACAGTCCAGTCAGTGCCTCGGTGCTGACAGAGGGGCAGATAGAACCCAACAGTACTGTCACTCGGATACAGGTGATGTTCTGTCAGGAACCGTGTTGAGCTGCTACTGCTAGTGACGCTGGGTTAGCGGTGTTAGCGGTGTTAGCGTTGTTAGCGTTGAAGGGTTAGTAGAAGGTGACGCAGTCAAGTAGTGAAGTTGATGTAAGGTCTTCTGTGGCTGC